CAACCTTCGATAAACGGACTAAGTGGTTGGATTCCATCGATTGCTGTTTATCCATGTCTTTCTCACGTATTCAATAAGGTTTTGTAGGACGGCGTTCTGGTCAGCCTCTTGTACGAGCCGTCTGCGGGCACATATGGTAGAGCCATGACTTTCCTCAAGAACATGTGGGTTGGTCTGTGCTCATGGTGGGCAGCTTGAAGTCCCAAATACTTGATCTGGTGAGGTAATAAAATGGAAATAAGAACAGATTTCTTGTTGTCTCCAATTCCGGTATGTTAGCGTACGATTCGACTTCCAGTGTGTTAATTCGTCTACGACCGTAGACGAATCTTAGCGGTTTGGGTGTATCAGGCATGTATGACCTAAAAGGCAAGGAAAATCAGTGACTTTGAATATTTGAATTATTTTGAATACGTGAGTCATTGTCTTATTTCCACTGATTTACTTTGTTATCTCCCTGATTTTAAAGCCGAGAAAAAAAGTATAATTTTGAGCATTGGAAAGGGGAGGTTGCTAGACTTCATACCTTGGTTTTATGAGTACATGTTACTCACGTAATCTGATGACAACAAGCAGAAACGGTGAAACTCTCGGAATAGTTTCGGAGGTATTTTTTATAAGGAATAAAATAAAAACACCCCACTAGCAAGAGTGCGAAAATCTTGAATGAAACACTTTGAAATATATTGAAAAAGCTTATGCTAGCTTTATCGATGAATTAAAGTATTTCAGTTCCATTTCTTCAGGTATTCCGTGGACCAATGCAGACGAATAATGAAAAGAGCAATTACAAAGGACAATTATTACAAAATGAGAATCGTGACGAATGCCATACTATACCGTAGAAGGGGTTTCCCTCTAAATTTCTTAATATCCCTGGGAATTTCTGGTGCCCGTTGGGGAGGTCGACACTCTGAAGTCGGTTTCAATTCATCGTACAAGTCACTCACGATGCGAACAGAAAAAATCTCAGGTTATGAAACTCCCCCCCGTCTTCCGTTTGGAATGTGAGCACACCAGGGACATACGAATATCCAAACTTCCAGCGACGTTTGCAGCCAATCCTGAACCTCTTCTGACAACCTAAAATATGAATTTATTTGCTCACGTCACTGTAGAGATATGCATAACATTACGCAGAACTGTGGGCTCAGTCGTAAAGAAGTTTACACGGATTGCTCTCATTCGATTGAGTCAAAACCAGTTTTCTATGAGCTGAATCTAACCATGATAATGCCTTGTTCCGGCGTATGCAGTTCTGCGTATGTATGCGTTCGAGAATCAGATAGAACTACCTGAAATAGAACAAGAAGAAGTGCATTAAGTTGAAAGTTCTTATCTAACTATCTGAAATCGCATGGAAAGTGTGTGGGCCTTGACCGGGTATGTCGGATATTGGTGTGTTTGAGGCTTTTTTTTTTTTATTTTTTTTTTAACAGCAATTCAGTTTGACTACATACTTAAGAGAGCTAGGGTGTACTGTGTATTGCATTTTTGGAAAATTCTTCGCCAATCATAATGAGAAATACACACATTCATCCAACAGACAACGGATTTGCCCTTTTACCGTGTAAACATTGTAAACATGTCTTCCTTTTCTACAATGATTTCATCTCCCTAAAATCAATGGCCAAAATTTTAAGGAAGACCGGCTGGATGAAAGTTAGCAATTAGGGTTGTAGAGAGGAATTCAAGAATTACCAGGGTAGAGTTCGTCCTCATCCTGATCGATACTTCCTGTAGTCGAAAAAGTTGACACTGCACAGTAAGGTTATATCCTTCAGGGTGATGTTCTCCTCACTGAGGTTCTCTATGATCAACACAATCTGTCCGCATTTTCCACCCTCCACTTTCAATTCAATCATATCATGTTCATCTGCAGCGGGATCTGAAGTAACTCTCATCCCATTTTTGTCAAAGACAAGCTCTGGTCTGGATGAAAAAAAGAGGAAAAATTCACTCTCAACCAGGGAACTCTCCAAAAGTTTTTTCATGTGTGCTGTTTCACTTACTTCACAAATATCACCCCGTACTTTAATTATCAAAACTAAAAAGAGAGGGATTTGATTTAGTGATCTTTGCCATGCAAATCTTTATAAAAAGTTAGTAAAAGGGGGAGAAGGGAGTTACATGACGGGAGAGCAATTGGGGGAAACTTAATTTCCATACTAGGATGGCTCTCCGTTGATTTTCAAATCCTTGTATTGTGTTGGGTGTAAGTCACATTAACCATCTTCAAGAAATAGTTCAACCGTTATGAGTCAGTCTCCTGTAACTCAGAGGTAGAGCTTCAGAATGCTTACTGGAAAATGTTAGATGTATGTTGTAAGGTAACATATTTTCTTTTTCATCTGCTCAGCGAGATGTTTAATTTTTGCAGGACCCTTACTGCCTCGAGTGGAACATAAAGGATTCATACATTCCGCTGTGTGAGCATTTAGTTCAATAGAAACTAAACTCCCTTCTTCTTCTTCTTCTTCTTCTTCTTCTTCTTCTTCAAAAAAAAAAAACAAAAAAAAAAAAAAAAAGAACTGTTAAATTTCCCATGTGTGACGTTCGCTTAGCTCGTGTTCATTATTAAGTAGGGGCATGGGGTGGGTCTCTCAATTTACCATATAAAGGGAAAGAATGAAAATTTTCCCCTGTTTCCTTTCCTGAATAAAGTAAATTAATTGAGACAAGTTATTTGATCAGATTCCCTCGTTCAGCCTGTAAAACTAAAACGTTATCTTGAAATAGTTCAACCGTTATGAGTCAGTCTCCTGTAACTCGTTCAGCCTGGAAAATGTTAGATGTATGTTGTGTAAAACAGATGTTTAATTTTTGAATATTGATTCATACATTCCGCTGTGTGAGCATTTAGTTCAATAGAAACTAAACTCCCTTCTTCTTCTTCTTCTTCTTCTTCTTCTTCTTCTTCTTCTTCTTCTTCTTCTTCTTCTTCAAAAAACAAAAACAAAAAAAACAAAAAAAAGAACTGTTAAATTTCCCATTAACCATCATGGGGTGGGTCTCTCATTAACCATTTTCCCCCGTTTCCTTTCCTGAATAAAGTAAATTAATTGAGACAAGGGCCAGCTGTAAAATTCAATTCTGGATGCCTTTATGTTTAAAGATTATCGAGAAGAAACGGGAAAATAATTTCAAAATAAGAATGATGTGGCTAAACATTTTGCTATATTCTCTCCGGATGATTTACCTTTTTGCTACATTCTTCCGGATAATTTACTTTCCACTCACTCTGTCGGGAAAGTTGTTCATGAGTGATTACTTATTTACGGACAAAACTTAACGATTTTAGGATTTGGCTGAGAATTAACTCCTTTTGTTCAATGGAAATGAAGATCATGAAAAATCACGCAAATATGAGAATATTCGACGTAATTTGGGGAAAATTTGTTGTCCAAGAAAAATAAAATATTTTAAAAGACCACTTACCTGAGAAATTTGGTTCTAATAAACTCTTCGAAGCCATAAATAATCATCAGAATGATTAGGTCTGAAAAGGTCCTTTCGAGTATTTGTAACGTCTTCCAAGTATTTCGAGAAAGTGTTCCATTCCTGCCTCGGCTCTCAGGCAAAATATATTGTTCTCTGAGCTAATCGACGAGTGAATGTGACTTGCAGACTAAAACGTTATTTGATCAGATTCCCTCGTTCAGCCTGTAAAACAGATGTGAATATTGATCGCTCTTTGTTAAGCTTGTTGTCGTCAGTTTTATGAACAGAATGTATTGTTTAACTCGATTTTTCTTTTTTCTTTACAGGCTGCGAAACTGACCGCAGGAAAATTGTTCTTGCTTTAAGTTGACGATCGTTGGAGAACTACCACCAAATCTTATGAATCTTTTACTACCCCGTCATTTGTACAGGCGGAGACAAGCCAATGAAAATGAAAATTCATGAAGTCGGTATATTAATGAAGAAACAAATGCAAAGATAAATTCGAGCTACAATTATTTGGAAGTAGAGATTCTTTCGGAAAAAAAAACACCGAAAGGAGTGACAGGATAGTCTTCAAACTGTACCTAAAAAACAAAAGCTTCCCGATCCCTGTGCATTAAGTTTGTTAGCTCATCACTGTTTAGTTTGCAAACGTTTGATTTGGATTACTCGTCCGCACTCGAAACATGATTTCACCTCCGAGCCACAATCTTATCTTAAGGGTTCGTGGTGGAAGACCTGAGAAGTGTGGAATGTAAAACAGAAATGTTGGTTGAAAACTTTAAAGAAGATGCAATTATCAACGCTCCCCTGAACCTTTTAAAATAATTTTTCCAAAAAGATAGTTTACGAATGACACCCGAGTTAAAAAAAAAAAGCTGTGAGAACCGGCTGTGTGCTTATTATGCTGAGCCGAGGGATACGGCAAGGGAGTAACTAACACGGCAAAGGCCCCCGAGTTGGTACCAAATGAGAGACTAGCAGTGGAAGTAATCGTTAAGTGTTCAGCTTGAAAAGTTAACAAAGTACGGCTATAAAGTTGATGGGAAACTAATCACGTTTGGAAATACGGCGGGTCTACAACTTGGCTCTACGGCTCTACGGATCTTTGGTCGCGGGTGGGGTTCACGTTTCACATGTCGTAGGCTTCTGTTAGAAAATCTGCTGGTTGGAAAATAGGTAAAGAAAAATACGATTTCAGTTCAAAATAAATCTCAGCCACCCCATACACTTTTTTATATTGGATATCGCTAAGAATGCAAACTTCGCTTTTCATGAGGATGCGACATTGATTTCTGCCCTTTTCTTAGTCTGGTCTTTGATCATCCTTTCCCTCTTCGGAGAAGGAGTGAGGCTTTATTTCTTGCACAACAACTGTGACTTTAGCCCAGTAGGAATGTGAAGGGGTATGCAATTCACAAAGGTAAAAATTTCAAACCCTTATAACCAAAGTTGTAAGCTTTGTTGTTACTAGAGGGAGTCAGTTGTCAAAAGAAAGGGTTCGACGTTAACTTTCATTTATAAGAGACCAACCGGATACATTTTGAATACTTGACTGGTTCCTATAATCTTTATCATACGTTTCTGTACAAATGAGCTGCACGTAAATTACTGTTACAGTTACACCATAAATTTGAATTGCAAATGTTTTGAACAATTTCAAAAGAAAAAATAGGTACAAATAATGTTCCAAGATTTTGAATCTGAACATATGAAATTATTTACTTGGCAAACACAAGGGATATAACTCAGCTGATGCCAGATATTACATCTTTTTTTAAAAAAATAATCTTGCTTAATTTGATGGGAAGATGTTTGAAAGATGGAGACAGAAAGAAAACGCCACGCACAATCCTAGATCTCCTTGCACTTTCTGACTATGAAAACTCCAAGGTGGTTCTTTTAAACGTATACCTGCGTCGCAAAAAACGAAAATTGTTCTATCTGGCATCATCATTTTTTTCTCAATAAGTTATTTTCCTTGTAAAGTTATATTAGCTACAAAAATAATTAAAATTGTTAAAGCTCTTAAATATCCATACTACATAAAATGTTTAGTCAAAAAGTGCTTCTTAAATAAAAATAAGAAAAAATTATTACCTGCAAATAGTCACACCTCATTTTAAATACAATATGTTTTAATACTATATTTCTTGGAAAGCCTAGCTACTTTGTACAGTTCGAAATTTTAAATCTTTTTATCATTTTACTACTTTTCTGATGATAAGTGCACATAAAAAAGCTGACCCAATTTTGATTAATCACTCACACTCTAACCCTTTAACTCCCAGATCAAATTTGTAATTCTCCTTACTGTCAACCATACAATTCTAATAATGTAAGTTCAGAGAATTTAGTATTGGATCAACTTATTATCCCCAATTGATCTTTTTCTTTATTCTCATCACTTATCTGGTTGATACAGTATAGATATTTGAAGGAGAAATTATGTCTTGGTCACTCATGGGAGTTAAAGGGTTAAGTGAGACATCTGTGCATAAAGAGAAGAATATCTCATATTACATAAAACTATACAGTTAATTGCAAGAATTTACTGCTCCTTTTGTAGAGACGTAATGGCAAAAAGAAAAATTCTTTGGCCTTTCAGTAAAAACAAAGTGAAGAACAAATTAACTTTCCAATAGTGATTTGAGAAGTAACATTGGTTTTAAACTAACACATTGTTTTAAAAGGCTGATTGTAAAAATTAACATATCAAGCAGGTTTTCATGCAAGCTAAGAATACCTCTTTGCCACCTTTATTGCATCCTACAATTTTTAGTTGACCTGTACAGGTGAAAAAACAATTAGAGACAAAAGAAAAATTCAACTGATACCAACTACTGGCAGTTTGCGTTATAAACATCACATGATAAAAATGATGGCTGCTCAGAAATCTGAATACAATATATCACAGAATTATGGAAATGATTCCCAAAACTTTTCTGTAGCTTCAACAAACCTAAACCTATAAGGCCACAAGTAACATAAAACTTACAAATGTATGCACATTTTCCAATTTATTGCTAGGAGCTTCAATCTGCAATTATAAGTTGCAAAAAAGGCAAAAAAATTCTGAGTCCTCAATGGAGACTTCACACATGAAAAGGGTTTCTAGAAATGGATGTTTACTGAAGAAACAGTCAATCAGATATAAGATAAATGGACTGTTAAGCCACAGATAAAACATTGTTTTGTGTTTTTTCAATTGGGTGGTGTGTCCTGATCTCTATTATAATTGGTCAAAAAGGTTTAAGTGTTCCTAAAATATTTTGATTTACTACAAATTCATCCAGACCTCTTTTTTCAAATTTCAGGAACCATGAGTAGAAAGCTTGTTTCTTAAATGTTTTTGCAATCATTGAAGAAAATATCTATATTTCTACTAAATCACTCTTGAGAGCCAAATAGAAGTTACACATACATCTGAGGCCTAACGGTCTGAGACCTTATATATTCTTGCCACTCAAACAGAATCCAGTTCTCGATTACTGTAATAACATCATCTCGTCCCATTTCTTCAAGAATGGTTTTAAATCTTTCCACACAGTTTTCTCTCTTTGAGTCAAAGTGCCGTAAGATTTCCTCTGTTTGATTACCCATCTGTTTTAGCCACAAGATGGCATCTTTGTCCACACCAACTTTTTCCCCAAGCAGGCGATAATCACTCCAACTTATATTCTGCAAAACATCCAGTTTCTGACAAATCTTGTGGTAAAACTGGTAACGTATTGTGGCAACTTTTTTTCTGAGCAAAGACTTCAGGAAGTCTTGGGGAATGTCAGAAATTTTGGGGAAAGTGGCAGTTTGGTCAAAGAGCCCTGTTGTTGAGGTGGATGTGGATGTGGATTGTTTATCAAGTCCTGTAACAAATAAAAAATAATGATATTTATATTAGTAAATAATGAAGTCCAATCTGCACATGAAATTTATTATCTTGAAGTGACATTTTCAGGATAATTAGAGTTTAATTAAAAGTAGACCACCTTGTTAGGGTTGTTCAAACAAAATTATATCATACTTAAAAATTTATTTTGTAAAATCAACCCATTGACATGCAGTGAGGGCCTTAATGTTAGCTGTATGTTGGCAAGATCCATATATTGAAAAATCACATAAATTCAAAAGGGTGTCTTCAAAAAGTTGGACCTAAGACCTTAAAGACCTCACACCTTGAAAAATAAGACCTCAAAAACTTGAAGACCTCTAAAACTAGGATGTCCAAAAATTAAAGACCTTTAAAACTAAGACTTTGAAAACTAAGAAAGACATAACCATTTGTGAACATTCATTAAATGAGCTTTGAGTGAAGTTCCTGGGCAAAATTATTTTTCAATTGCTTTGACCCCTATTTAACTTTGGTGAATCAGCACTTCTGGTTGGTTAACTAGGTTTGAATATTCTGATGAGTCAGCAACGATGACCTATCTAATTCCAATACTTTTGCTTATTGGCAGTGAAATTGAGAATATCATGCAACCTTGTAAGAAATTGTATGAAGTAGGCAATTTTTTAAAAATTTGTTCTAAGCATCAAATAGAGTCAAAGGCAATTTATTGATAAGGTTTCCAGGTCTTAGTTTTCACGATCTTAAGTCTTAGTTGTTCCTAGTTTGTAGGACTTAGGTCTTAGTTTTTGATGCATGCAAGAAGAAAAAGTTACATAACAGTTCAATAGTTCCCTGCCAATAAAATGAACCTGGTCTTCCCAGATACTGGCTATTAAGTGCCATAATCTCAACTGAGCTACAAAGCAACAAGTTGGGAGTTCATAAATCCTAGATGGGGTTCTTTGTTCCTTAAAAAGGAAGTAATCAGAAAGAACTAAAATAATTATCATTTGAACTCTGCCAAATCCCTAATTCTCAATATTGTTTCCTTCATTTTCTTCAATTTATTTCAGTAGCAATTCACCTGCAAGGTTTTTCTTTTATTTGCAGTCATCAACAAGTCAAAACATTTTTATTGTATATATTCATGACAACAGTCCAACAGAAATAAAAAATCCAATTTTCTGTGGCTTACTTGATTGTTGCTCTCCAACATCAATAAATTGCAGAGAAATCTTTGGGGTGCCTTCCACATCATGTCCATACTGTGCACTAGTTGGCAAACGATCTGTATAGAAATATCATAATTGCTAATGTTATCATAGGAAACAGTTTCTTGATGCGTCAGTTTCTTGGAAGGAACAGTGGCTTCACTTGCATGCATTACAAGGTACATATCATTCATCAACCTTTCTCCCCCAAGAAAAAAAACATGAAGTGATGTGCTTAAAGGGTTAACAACATGCATGATTTTTAGGGATTCTTATTTTTTTATTCATAATTGGGGAATGTCAGAAATTTTGGAGAAAGACACTGTTTAAGAACACCAGTAATGAAATATGTGACTATAGTTTTCAAGCAGTCTCAGCCATAAGTCTCTTTGAAAAACATCTGGGGACAGGATGGGCTATATCAATGTAGTAGATGTTATGATTCAAAACAGAATATTAGGCTATTGTAATAGTTTCAACCTCAAATCAAAATTCAAGTCACTTGAAGTCACAGGATGATATCATTATCATAATGAGACATTTTAACTTACTATATCCTTGTTTAAAATATTTGTGGGTCCTTGGACTCCTGAATGGTTGAGAAGGGCTTTGCCCAAGATCTGATTCTTCTTTAGGTTTCTGGATGAGTTTAGGAAGAGCTCCTGGGTGTGAATGTGACCTAGGAATTTTCTTAACTGGCTCTTGCAGGGTTTCAACTGGAACAGATTGCATCCGTTGGTAAAATGGCTTCTTTCCTATCTTAGGAGTACTCCCTGTAGTCTCTGAACAACACAAATTTTGAAATGTAGACTTAAAATCTTCAGAAAGGAATAAAATTGTAAAAGAATGATAAATACACATATGTAGTAGATATATTAGTACATAAAAAAGTAACAACAATTCTCTCCTGCTTATATAGTAACACGTTAACATCAGCTGGTTGATTTAATAGAAAGTCAGAGTAAAGTAAATTATCAACAAATATTAAGTAATAGAATTTACCTGCAAAATGAATTTCCCTCTTCCCTGTGCCCAGCTCAGGGTCAAATTCAGAATTTTGGAAGTGGTTTTCTGAGCTATGAAAAGACATATCCAAAGTAGGGGAACTCAAACAATTAGAGCCTGATCTGAAGCGATATATGAAGAAGATCACACCAACAACCAACACAAAGCAAACTGGACCAAGTACGATACCCACAATTGTTGAGGACTCAAGACCCCCTTTGTGTTGACTCTTGCCTGTGGTGTCCTTGGTGTCTTGTTCAGGGCACTCAAAATTGTTTTCTCTACACTGCATGCTCCATGGAAGATTAGAATTTTCACACTGTTCTTCATGATGTTTTTTATCTTGCCCGCAGCAGTCACTGCATGGATGACATCCACCAGATATCTTATCCATATAGAAGCCCTTGTGACACGTTCCTAGACACTTTGTGGTATCTGATTCAGGGGTACACTCTCCAGACTTTTTCTCATGTTTGTCACAGTTTCGGCAACTTTTGCAGGTGGTGTGATCATGACTGTGTGAGAAATTTACGCCACCAATACAGGGGATACATTTTATTGGTGTGCTAATTGAGACACTAGAAGCACAAGGCACAGTTGCTCCATGTCCAATTGGGCATCGTAACATAGTACATTTCCAGAAAATGGAATGAGTAGCATTTATTACTCGTTCTATTTCATCAGGTCCTGGCTTTCGATGTTTTTGAATATTCCCACATGCTTCATAAGCAAAAAGATGTAAAATAACAGTCATCTGCAAAAAAGTGTTTGAACTTTATCAAGAACTTAATCTATTAACACACATGCAAGTACATGTACACAAGCAGAGGTTACTACTTCTCGGAAATCACATGGAAAGAGAAAAATCAGTATGTGAATCAGTGTAATTGCTATTAGAAATGATCACAGATCTATTCCAACCAAAGTCTTAACCCCATGTATACATATTTCAGACAAGTATGCCAAGTCTAACCAACCATCTGAAGACATAACACTAAGGCATTGCTCGACACAAGCACTATAATTGAGAAATCATTGGTGAGCTTTGCTCCACATCACTCAATAATCATCATGCCCTGTGAATTTCATATTATTGTGTGGGAAACAAATGTTTCAATTCATTTTAAAGTTGTAAATTTTATGTCATTTTTAAGTTTTACAGCAGGTCCAGACCTGCCCTTGGGGTTGCCTCAGACTGACCTGCCTCAACAAAAAGTATAGGTATGTATGCATGTACCCATTTTTTAACCAGATTTTGCTAATAACTAGACTTGAAAAATATTTACACATGTTAACAAAAATGTAAAATAAAAAATAAAGCACAACCAAAACTTAGGGCACGAAAATATAGATATAACTGTTGCTTAAGTAAGCACGTTTATTGTCACAGCATTCACAATTTGGCGCTTTATATGCTACAATTTAACGGGAGAGGTCCCCAACCGTTCACTCAAAGACAGGAGCAAAAGTAAAGTAGAAAAAAAATGTTTTCAGAACCATGTTGTCGAGAAACTGGTTTAAAATAAGTAGATAATACACCTTCAATTCGTGATTATATTATTTTGAAGCAAAAAACCTTCGCACAGCTCACTAAGTGAGTCCAGGTTAAGAAAAAAGTTGTTTCGCTTCCTGTAAGACTGTAACGGAAATCTAGATCAATGAAGGATGCATGAGCTTCTTAGTTAAACCCTCGCAATGAAACGTACTGCGACATAGTTGTTAGCGGGATAAGTTATGAAAAACATAGTTTACGTAAAACAGCTTTAGATTCCGAGTTTAGTTTACTATAAGCTAACAGAGAGCGCGTAAAGGGCGTGTGACGATATATCAAATCACTCCATTTTCAATCATTTTTCTGCACATTCTAAAACCTTTTTTGAAATGCTGTATTAATAATTATGCTGATTTGCAACTTTAATTCTGATCACCTACCAAACAAATGATCTTTGCTGTTTCCATGATGCCGCTGCGTAGATAAGCAGACCACAGTCGTCATGCACACACAGACCTACAGAACACAATTTCAGGAGGATTTAGGTCAGCTGTTAAAGGGATTTTTCGTCATTGTTGCTTTCAAATGGATCGTCCTTTAAATGCCTTTGTAGAAGTTTACATTGTAAATTTCATCATCAAGCGTACGCAAAAATTTTCCAGCGGTTAGGCGAAGTAGCGATTTAACAGAACTGCACAAAAACTTACCTCCTTAAGTGCAACTTTAAAGCCAATATTATCTTTGATTTATGGACAGATAACTCAAGAACTGTTGCTGTTCCAAATTTATCTACAACCGTGGAAAGGAGATTTTGATGAGATGTCATAGTAGAATCATGAATGTGTATGTGAGATTCAGCTTAGTTCATAACGTCATGATTCGGGGATTCCCCGAAGACCGCTGATTGACTGAGAAAAATAACGCAGATACGAAGGAAAGAAGGAAAGAAAGAGTTTTTTTGCTTGTCATGCGCCTGCGCAGGCACTCGATTATATCTTGACTGCGAGGAGTACTTTTGTACTTTTGGTTGAATTATATCACTTGGGATCCCTCCGTGCGTATTGACTTCATGATTACGTATTTTTAAATAGGTGTGAAAAAATTAACTACTTCTATCTTCGCGTAGAGTGAGATTCAGTTGCATCTTTCCCGGGGTATGAAAACGTTTAGATACGAAACGTGATTAGTGCACTTGACCGTTAGTAAATCTTGATGCTACAAATTTGAGAATCGCTGATAGATCCTTCATACGCTTTTTTATGGAGTTTGCTACTTGCATCATGTACAGTAGGATGCGTCAAAAATATCTTCGACGTCGCCCAAACCCTCTCATCAGTTTTTTCGGACCCGTCATAGGGTAAGAGCAGTTTTGTAGTTTTCCACACTTTTCAGACGTGTCTCAAACTCGTTTATAAACTGTGTTGTGCTGGGTAGTTCCAAATCATGGTTTTCCTCCCCTTTATGCTTGAGAACTCAAGCATTAAGCCTGAACTGTGCATGTTTTTCTGCTTTGTGACATCAGCCCGACAAAATCTGTAGAATTGACTGCAAATTTTCTGGTATTCCCTTTGGTAAATGTTCTTAAATATTGGCTCAGTCCTTACCGCATACTGTTTTTTTTTTATTAAATATCCTATGTGTTAAAATCTGTCAGAGGTAATCAAATAAATTTAGAAAAATGGAAAACTAGGGAAAACCGTCTGAATGACCTTGAGGTGTTACTGTTTCAAAATGTCTCACTATCATTTCCATAATGTGGCAAAGACCTAAGACATTATTGAAGCAAAGAACAAATATTAAAAATGTATTAAGGCAAATAGTTGGAATACATTTATATCTGCCTTACATTATATATGATTTGGCCATGGTCTTGGCCTTGATCTTTAATTCATGCTATGCAGGGACGATTAGTCACAAACACTCTGGGGAGCCACCTTTATGCCACAGAAAAGGTTTGAAATATGGTCTGCACATGGATACCACCTCTATTTGATTTTCCCCCTACCATTTTGAAATTCAATGCTGAGCTCACACTGGATATGTCTTTGATGGCATGCTTTTTTTTGTGCTAGCCAAAGAAACAGATGATTCCAAACGTTTGGTAGTGAGGCAGACATACTACAGATGTTTAAGTTTGGGACTAAGTGTTCCTTTTCTTAGTTCTTGTGGTAACCAACTAAAAACCTTTCAAAGTTATTGGTTGAGGTCTATGCTCATCAAACAATTATGTATCAGTCAAAGTAAACCCCACCCCACCCTAGGATATGTGGGTTTGGTAGGGATTTAGCTCATTATGCCCCTGATATACTGTTATTGACAGCTCTTTATGTTCTGAGGTGATGCACCTGTATGTTTTTGTTACATTTTTGTCAGAATGTGAAGCATTGGTTAGGATTCGATGGAGTATTCAAGATGGCGGCTACTCTTCTGGCACAGATTTATAGGGATTCTAAGATGGTAACCATTTTTCTTGTAAAGATTTCTGGGTAAAATAATGTTGTAATGTTTTAAAGTTACATCAATACAAAATGAGATAAAGGTCAGTTCAACAGACCTGAGTAATCAGGAAAGGTACCTAAGGTCTGTACTTGAGACAAGTGGCCCATCCATCTGGGGCTTATCCCAATTTCCTTAGCATAAATGAACTAAAGGTATAACAACTCCCCCTTCAATGGCACGCCAGTCCATTTCAAGGTTACCCCCAGTGTTTCATCAGGCTTTCATGACAATTTACAAGTTTGCAAGATGGCACAGACATAAAATGCCGTGTCCTATCATAAATCTCCCATACTGTCTGACTGCGATGATATCCAGGAGGTAGTTTTATACATACTGCCAAAACTGCTTTGTAAGAAACAAAAATTCCTTGTATAGTTGTAAGGTGCAAAATTAATCTTTGTTAAAGCTCATCCATAACACAATACAATGTTTACTAAAAAAAGGGTGGTTCTTTAATACAAATTACTCCATCATAAGAAAAAAAATTAATCCTTCCAAGTACCAGTAGTCACACTTCATAATACATGCAACATTTGTCATACTACCCTACTTGACAAGCCTAGTGATGTTAAAAGTTGAAAAGTATTAAATTTTAGAGTTAAGTTCATTGTTTTACAATTATGCTGATGATAAGAGCACATTATAGTAAAAATTACATAATAATTCAATGCATTCTGCAATTTACTATTGACTTAGCATCTTTAAAGAAAATTAGTAGTGAAAACAATTCAAACAATGCCAAATGCCAGCATTTAGCTCCCAACATCAACAGTTTCAAGCTATACCTTCACAAAAATTTGAATAAAACATGGTAGAGTAGTGTAATGAAATGGGAATGATGCACAAAATTTTATACTAACTTCAAGAAACTTAAACCTAAGGTTACAAGTAATATAAAACCCATAAATGTTGGCCTGTTTCCAAATTATTGTTAGGAGCTTCTTTCCCTGATAAATTTGATGAAAAAAGGTGGAACATAAAAAAAACCAAAAGAATTCTGAGTCCTTATGGGAACTCTGCTTGTGACAATTTCAATTCATGTCCAAGCATAAAATTCTCCATATTTCCTACTCTGTTACTCACAAGAAGCTTTTGACATTGTGGATCCTAACAGTATGCAAGATGTGTTTCACATATAGGAAACTAAAAGTAGCCATCTTTCTTTAACTTCAGAAATATTTCTGGAAGCAGTTTGTCAGTTAATGATAAATAGACTCAAATTGTTAATAATGGTAATAGGCCTGAGTGGAGTCCAATTCAGTCTGTGATCATACTGGTCAGTGACTAACAAAATTGGACAACTGCAAAGCAGGAGTCTGATTTGTTAATCACAAGTATGATCACAGGCTGAATAGGATGACACAAAGTCCTGTTACCAGTTAATCAAAACTTTGACAAAATTTGAGAAAGAAACTAGACATTGGTTATACGTCTTCATAATATATATATATACAGTATTTATAGAGTGCTAATTCCCAATGGAAAAAATCATAAAAAAAAATCAGTTAACTTGGCAAAATGTGAGACAATAGTGCGTGCACATGACATGTTCTGTCCACTTACAGAGACATAACGTGTGAACTGTCCATTTAACTGTCCTATTACACTGTCTAATTACAAGCATGTTGTGTAAACTGTCCTATTACACCGTCCATTTACAAGCATGAAGCGTACACTGCCTAGTGCTCAAATCGGGCTGGTGATAACCAATCACATTCTATAATTTTTTTTTATAGTTTTGATTAAAGCTTTAATCACTGAGA